TGCAGCATTGACACTCATAAGTGCCTTCACAGGTCTCCAAGCCATCATAGCGATCATCATAATCGGAAATATGGAGATGGTATTGCCAGACATATACATCATAAACATATTCATTGGTAAACTCTTGATTGGCTGAAGTGCCATTTCCCAGGCACGTTTGGTCATCAAATGTTGCGTTTGTTCGTTACGTCCTCCTTGATCAACCTGCAAACATTACTGGAAGATTAGATGAGAACTCAATCAGAAATACTGATGGTATAGAATCATTGTGGTTGAATTCAGTTGTTCATTTTGTCGTGATCCATGGGAATAGTCCAATAATCGTGCAATTTTGCTTTTATTCGGGATCATGACTAGTCAAGATTATTTGCCTTTTTTGTTTTATAAATTTATTTTTTGCACCGTCTTTTAGGACTCGACATCTTTCAGGATCCTTAATCAGCGATATTCTCCGCATGGAACACGAGTAAATCTTCACCTGCTGTGCGATAGAAACGCTTTGAGAGAAACCCGGAGGATTGAGCGAATTGTCCAGCGCACGACTCGCGATACGTGATCCACCAGCAATCGGATCCAATTTCCATTTATTCAGAGACATTTCGGCACTTTTCGATGAAAATCTCAAATAAAACTCACGACTGGAATGTTCTCTGATCTCTGAAACTGCACGAATACGACTGGAATTTAATGCAAACATTTTTAAAAAACGTCATCCAAATTTGATACATGTACGTCAACTCCTAGTTCATAATTCAATGCATTTCAGGTTAAGAGAACATAGGGTGGTGGTATTCCTCATGTTGAATTTTGCAAATTACACAGAAAAACCATCTTCAGACACCCGAAATAATGTTAAACTCATGAGAAATTAAAAATTAAATCAACGGTCTAGAGCGACTGAAACACTGCTAGATGTCGAATTGCCACAATAATTTCATTCGCTAAACCAAAACTTCAATTCTGCTTCGCAATCAGCATTTTTGCTTCACTTCCGTGATGCAATATAATTATTCAGCTAATTGCATGCATGACGTGTCTCTAGATAAAATTCCTTCTATAAAGTAATGACTTTTTGTACTTTTTGCCTTTCATTTCCGAGTAATGCTCTGCATGAGTTTATTAAGTAATGCTCTGCATAAGTGAATCGATTCGCCTATCCCGCTAACTTTTGCAATGCTTGGTAATTTTCAATGGCGTTGCCTTCACCACAATGTACTTACAATGTACTTGTATTCATAGATTAGCTCAATTTCAGCAAATCAGCCCAGGCCAGTAATTTTCAGTCCGGCTCGGCTGCAGCGCTTGTTTTGGCTTGTTACCTCGGGCTTTTCGCTTCCATACTTCCCATTATATTTATAGTGCGCAGTAGCGAATGGGGATTATGGAAGTCGTGGAATGTCGTTAGATATGTTCGTGAAACGTTATTAAAATTGTAAAAAGAAGAAAAAAATCTTCGTAGATTTCACTTAACACGTTGACGATTGATTACGAAAACGAGAAATTTTTTTCATAACTTTTTTGATGATAATTTCAGCAAACGTGAAACAAGCAATGCTTTTACGGTTGCTCGTAATATCGGTCATTAGCTTGACTCTTATTTTGGGTGGCGATGTACAGCCGAGTCAACGCAAAAAGAAGGCCGTCATTACGTCACTTCATGCGAAATGGTCACAAACACCGTTTTTGGCCGAAACGAGGTATTTTTTGAACACTTTTTTAACTCGGGTACATCTTTAGTTTAGGGGCTACACCGAGCAAATAGACGTGAGCCGAAGCCCATACGTAACCTCATCGCCGGGTGGGCATGCCTACTACGCTGAAAAATGTGTCTATTTGCGCGTGTGAAGCCCCTAAACTAAAGAACTGCCTTAACTCGTTCTCAATTCCACTTATGGTACTCCTCAAACCGTGAATATCTTCTTCAGATGATCTAAAATAATTCTAAAAATTTAACGAAAAATAAGCAATAGGAAAATAAATCTTTTCTGTTGCAGTGAGTTCATGGCCAAAGAGAGTAATGGGATGTTCTGGAAATATGTGGACACAATCATTGATGGAGTCAATGCAAACGAATGGAATTCATGTAGGCCTATTT